ATATATATATATATATATATATATATATATATATATATATATATATACATTCATAATATAATGTATTTCATTATATGTGTAAGTAGCAATTGGTTATTCTTATTTTTCTCATAAGCTTTGAGATTATTGAAAATTATTTGAGAAAAAAACTACATATATAAAAATATTAACTCTCTCATTCTCACCACTACTAAGTTATGTAGTTACTGTTTCCAATATCTGTCTGTTGTGAATAGAGCCAGAAGTAAACAGAGATAAACAAGTATCTCTTACTAGAACATGAAATCCTTTGGATATATGCCTAAATACTGAGATATATCTATATATTATCTATGTATCCTATCTATCTATCTATCTATCTATCTATCTATCTATCTATCTATCTATCTATCAATATGTAGAGGGAGGCTGCTTGTTGGTTCCCAGACATCTGGCTTGCTTAGGCCTGAAATAATCACACAGAAACTGTATTAATTAAATTATGTTTGGCCCCTTTGCTCTAGCTTCTTAATGGCTAACTCTTACATATTAATTTTAATCAATTTCTATGGATCTCTGTATCGCCATGTGGCAATGACTTACCAGAAAAGTTTTAGCATGTCTGACCCTAGTGTTGGCCCCATAGCTTCTCTCTAACTCTGCTTTCCTCCTCCCATGCTATAGGCCAAGCCAGTTTCTCTATTCATTAACCAATAAAAGCAACACATAGACAGAAGGACCTCGCACATCGTCAATATTTAAGTGGGTTCATGTAACCATGTAAAGTGTATATAATGTAATTCATTTACTAGTTTTTTTTCTAAAATTAAATGTAGAATTGGATTGTTAAAATGTTTATTTTTAAATTATAATTTTCTTTACACCTAGCAAATCTATGGAATATGGAAGTATAGAAACTTTGGCAACAAATCAGATTTCACTGATCAACTTTTAAGTAAATTAATTTTACTTGAATACATTAATCTGGGCAGAAATTAAATGCAGGAATGGAAATCATTTGGGACCATAATTTATTTAGTCATGTTACCAATTAGATTGAAGTGTCTCAGATATTATCAAATACAAAACATTTTTCTATTATGTTTATTATGTACAAAGAAAGTTTATAGTACATGTAATTCTCATTCATATGTTAAAATACATTAGAGATTTACACCCAGATCCCTAAAACAATTGCTTGAGGAATGCCTATATATACCTTCCAAATATGAGATACATGAGATACATGAAGACAAAATCATGGGCAACTGATATTCCAAACTGCATTTAACTACACATTGATTATATTTCTTAAGAATATATAAGTGGAGAAAAAAAACAAAAGTTGGGGTTTATTTTTGTCCCTTGTCTTAATGGAACATAATACTATAATTTCAAATAAAAATCTCAGTCGAATAAGTGGTTGGGGATTTATTGTGAAAGTAAACACTATATTCTCTTGAATAAATGAAGAGATGACAGATTAAAGTATCATAAAAGTAAAACTTTACCACCTGAAACTTGACTTATGGTTCTAGAAAAGAGAAGAAAACAATTTAGATATGTCTATCAAATCTTCACATAGTAACCTTTGGTAAGAAGTTCAGTTACTTTGTATCAAGTAAAGTTTTAAACAGTGAATAAGGAAAAACATAAAATTTTTATTTTTTATCTGTATCATTGAGATCATAATAAATTTTTAAAAACCCAAATTTTCTACTTGCTATTATAACACTGCATGAAATAAATATAGGAGAAAATTTTCTCAATATAAAAAGATCATATTTGAAACACCCATATTTTATATCATTTTCAATAGTGAAAGTTATAATAATAAGGCAAGGATGTCTGCATATGCCACTTATTCTCACATGTGCTATTAACAACAGAACAAGATGAAATAAATATTTACAATGAAACATAACAAAAGAGAAAGAAAATCATAGATCAGAAACTTTGAACAATAATAGTAAAAGAATTAAAATTATAAACACAAGTATGAAGGATACCCTATGCCCATGGGTTAGAAAGTTAAACATTGTGAAAATGATTATACAATCTGAAGATATTTCTAGACTTAACACAATCCCTACAAAAATCACAATAACAATGTTACTGAAATAAAAACAAAGAGTAAACCAGAAAACTGCCAAAAATCCAACAATCTTGAGAAAGAGACAAACCTAGAGGCATCACACTTCCTGACTTCTAATCATATATTCCAAAACTTTAGCAATTTATCCTATCGTAAAATAAGGAATACATTTGAGAATATACGATATAGAGTCTTGAAAAATCCACATGTATACGTAAGTCAATTTGTGATTCACTGAGAGTGGAATATGGGAAATGACTTTTGGTAATTAGATTCTGCACAGCCAAAGAGATAAAAAGCAGAATCTAAATCAATCTATGAACTAGTAGAAGTATGTTAAGAAACTATTGCAGATTAAAAGTTAATACTGAATTGACATTATATAAAGAATTTGCATGCCTATCTCAATATTGAAACAAAATAAAATCTACAAAGAAGCATAAATGACAAAAATATAAGAAATGATATTAAAATACTAATCTCTAGAGGAATATAATTAAAAATCACAATGTGATATATCTCATACTTGAAGGGATTATTATGATGAAAAATTTTAAAAC